CGCGCCCAGCTCCAGGGATTTGTCCTGCCGCTGTCTCTTGCACTTGTACCTGCGGTTCTGGAACCAGATCTTCACCTGCGTGGATGTGAGCTTCAGACTGCTGGCGAGGTGCTCGCGCTCGGGTGCCGACAGGTACCGCTGCTGCTTGAACCTGCGCTCTAGCTCGAAGACCTGAGCTTGTGAGAAGAGGACGCGGGGCTTCCGGCGGCTGCGCGGCTTCGGCCTCTCGCTTTCCTCTGCCGCCTTGATGTCTCCGGCCACCTCCAGGGACTTCTTCAGCTGGCAGCTTTCTGCAGAAGAAGCAAAACAACAGCGTCTCAAGAGTTGTCCCTGGGAGCACCGATGGCCCCTTTTAGTTGCAGCACGGACAGTGTGATAGTAAATGTCTGGCCTTTGGGAATGCCTGACACTGTGGGCCCCTGCACCAGTCTTAGCACCTTCCTTGGCGTATGAGGGCGCGTTCCATGGGAGGGGTGCGCAATGAGAGAATAGCATCTTCGAGAGTAGAGATTACCCTGCATTAAATTCATGGCTCGGCGAGCTAATGACTATTTTCAGAATGAAAGTGTGTAACTACATAATAACTACAGTATTTGCAAACTCATTTGCTTCCACTCTGCCACTGAGGGCTGAAGGTGTAAAGGGTGTAGTATTTGGGTGGTGGTGTGCCTAAGCTGTGCAGAAGTATTGCGAGTGAGGAAATGCCTTTGCGTTGTCCATTGGACAGTAGGTTTTGCTTTTAAAAGACTACCTGCCCACAGATGAATGTGTGTGCGTGATGAAGGCCGTGCACACAAGGAGAAAAGGAGTCTGATGGATTGGCTGATTCAGATAGTTACATTCAGATTTTTGGCCTTGGGGGACTGTTAGAACAGCTCTCAATCCGGCCACCCCAAACCTCCTCTTGGGGAAAGCAATTCTTTAACTGTCCCTTCAGGTACACTTCCTCGGAGCTTTATTCAGTTATCTGATCCTCTTCCCCAAATCACCTCCAGTCAGATGTGAAGGACCTAAGTCTGGCCTAAGTGAGGCGGGTTTGCTATTCTACCCTCAATCTGACACATAAAATGTTAAGATTTTTTAAAAAAACAAGCAAACAAAACAAAACCCAAAGCTGGAGCCTTAGGGACATGAATGAATGCCACCATCGCCAGAATGAACTGTATTCTCACACCGCTCTGTCCACCCCCACCCTCTCTGCCATGGGTACTGGGTGCTGAGCTCCAGGCAAGGAAGTGAAGAAGCCACCCGGCTGTTCCTGGGATGTGGCTGGGAAGCAACCTGCTTGGAAGGTCTTTTCAGAAAAGAGGGGGTGTCTGCCATGGCCTGGGTGGACTAGCCTAAAGCAGGCGAGGAAGCGAGAAGGCTTTGGGGCTCCATCAGCTCTGTCTGGGAGCGAGGGAGGGAAAAGTCCAAACACCACCCCATGGATGTTTATGGGAAAGACTGGTCATCGTATTTTGCATGTATCTATTGGAAAACTCCGTTACAAGTTGTAATGCCCAAGCAGCTGAGCCTGCGTCCCTTACCGCAGTTGGGGAAGCAACAACTACCTTCCCTTCCCTGGGGAGCTACCTCCCCTTCTTTGTGGCAGTCGTTGTCAGGGTCACCTCATCCTTCACCCTCTGCCCTGCACCCTCGCAGGTTCCTGCGCTTTGCGGAGCTGTCGCTGACCAGGGCGGAGGCATGACCCCAGCCGTAGGCTAAAGGGGCGGGCTGCCGTGCTGGCAAGGTTTGTGGGCTGTTTTCGGGCGCTCCGCCATTGCTCCAGATGTGCGGGTGCGTTTCCTTTCCCCTCTACTCACTTTGGCTCCGTTCCCTCACGACCTCGGACTCCTCTTCGTGTTCCTTGGGCCCACTGCACGAGTCGCGCAGGACTGTGTGGACATAGCTCTGAGGACAGAGCCCTGAATCCCCGTGGCCGTCGACTGCGGTTAGTGAGTTCAAATAGGACAGTTTCTCTCCCTCTTCTTCCTCATCCTCCTCCCCTCCGTCAGAAAATTGCATGCAGGGCGCCGAGTGGAAGTGGTGCTCCAAGTCTGCCTGCAAATGCGCGCTGTGGAAGTGCTGTTGCTGCTGCTGCTCCAGATTCAAAATGTCTTTGACTGAGAAAGGGGTGGAGGTGACCGGGCTTGGTAACATCATCAGGGCCACTTAATTGTCCAGCCCAAATACTCAATAAATCCCGGTGGGGGCGGAGAGGCAGCGCGGCGGCTCCAGCTCTGCTCCTGGACTCCGACGCTGCTGCCCCGTCGGACTTTTTGACAGACGCAGTCCGGTTCCAGTCTAAAGCGCTTCCATTGGCCCGGACCTGGGGGGTCTGGGTTTTGTTACAGCCGCTGCAGGGACTGGGGCTGGGGCTGCAAAGCCTCTGTCCCGGGGCTGTGCGTCACGTCGGGGGGCGGGGCCTTCTCTCCGGCCTTGCTCCCCATTGGCTCCTGCTCCTGTAGACCCCACCCCCGCGCATCCCGCGGGTTGGATATTGTGGCGCTCGCAGAAATAGACAAGGGCTAACTAACTAGGAGTCCCAAAGTCCCAGCCGCAGCGGCCAAGGCTGCAGAGACCCAGGGTCCCGACATCACAGCTCTGCCGAGTCACTCCTTCTCTGCCTGGGCTTGTTCTCTGGGAACCAACCAGTGGATGTATCCGCGGGGAGTTTGGGTTTCCAGCAGCTGGGGAAGTGAGACCTGGGAAGGGGCAGAAAAAGTCTTGGCCTGTAAATGCTGGGAGCTCTATTCTCAAGGAGATAGAGCAAGTGGATGGGCGACATGTCCGTTCCCACCTTGTTGAATTTGCTCAAGCCAGGTTCCTCTACCATCTATATTCTCTTGTCTTATTGAGTGGAAAGTTGTGGTCCAAGGCTCTTTTCACATGCCAGCTCTTTCAAGGAAGGCTGGCTTCCCAGATGGCCTAGTGGGCAGAAGTACTCTCACCTCTGAACTTGCGGAGCTTGCAAAGGACATTCCGATAGCTTATCATGTCCCACCTATTCCTATCCTGAAGGGTCTCCCAGGTAGCCTGAAATCTTCTTAGGGCAGGTTCACTGTGGCTTTTGTCCTTGTGGCCTTTGCAGTGCTGCACTGATGGACAGGGCCCTGGCCTGGTCTGTATGTGGCCTAAACATTCTTTTTTTTTTAATGTGTGTACCGTCAAATTGGATCTGACTGGTACAGGAGGCGATTATTCCTCCTTCTTCAGCAGAACATCTGGTGGATTTGAACCGCGCACCTCTGGGATTGCAGTGCAGTTTCCTGCCACTAGACCACCAGAGCTCGCCAACCTTACACATTCTTAAACCTCAGTTTTCTCTTCTAAAGGAAGGAGACAGGAATAGCGTATACATGTTGCTGCCAGAATTAAACGGAGTAAAACGTCAAGAGTTTAGGATAGATTACGTGCTCGATACATATCAGACTTGAAAACCGGTTGCTGTCAATCGGTTCAGAATCCTGTAAGGATTCTCCGCACAACCACTCTCTAGGATTTCCAATTCCACAATCTTGGCTGCTATCTTTTTCTCCCACAGAGCAGCTGGTGGGTTCAAACTTCTGGCTTTTCCCAGTTAGCAGCGAAACACTTAATACTTGTGCCACCAGGGAGCTTCATATACATATCAGTTACTGTCTTGTTGCGTTTTAGTGGCTTGCACGCCCCCCGCGAGATTCTGGAAACCTCACATTGGTAAGGACCATCTTCACGCATATAAAGCGTCCGCCAACAAAGCACACCCTTCATGCAGGAGGGTGGAGGCGGTGAGGCCGCGCAGAGGCGGCGCGCAACGCTGGCGTGGGAAAAGCAGAAACCAGTTTGGGGCCCAGCCTTGGCGCCCCTCATCCGGTCCTAGCCGTCCTCAGCGTTTATTTTTGGCGACCAGGATGTTGAAGTTGGGGAGACTGGCCTCAGCTAGAAGGAGCTGGTGGAAGGTTCTGGGACTATGGACAACGCCCCTGGGAGGGGTAGGCCCGGGGCAGGAGTCTGGGCAAAGATGTGGGGCATCGTTGCGGTGCCCCGCGGTGGCGGGAGGAGTGGAGAGGCCAAAGCCAAGAAGAGTCGATTGGGAGGGGGGAGGGGCGGGGCTGTCTTGGAGGGAGCGGAAATGGTGCGGGGAGTCGGCCCAGGGGGCCGCCCGGGGAGCTGGGCTGCGCGGGGCCACGTGCGCCAGGAAGGACTTGGGGTGGCCGCGGGCTGCGGACTGGAGAGAGACCTTCTCGGGCAGGGATGACCATCCTCCTGCAGCCGCAAGAGCTCCCAGTGCCTTTCTGCCTTAAACCCTCTACTGGCACCCCAAGTGGAGGCCGACGTCCCCACACCAGGCCTGGCGGGGACGGGGTTGCAGAAAGAAGAATGCATTTGGTGGTACCACAGCTCCGGAGCGCCAAGGCACACAGATCCGGAGAAAGGTGGGGGTGAGTGCGCAGCCCAGTGGTGGGAGACCCAAAGTGTGCGCCCGTCCGGGCAAAAGGAGTAAGCGCATCTGTAAGTCCTCTTCCCCTCTCCCTGGGCAGGGCCATCGAGAAGAACTCTTTCGGGTCCCCAGTTTTCCTCGTTCTCTTCTTTTGCGTTGAGGAGACTGAAAAAGGATGAACGCTCCAAGCTCTCCAAACTGCCTTTCTCTCTGCAATTTCCAGCTGAAGCCTTCGTTTCTCCTGCTTAAGATCGCTTCCTTCTCAGCCACACTTCGCTCCTAGGCCTTCCTTAAACCGGGCCAAGGACCATGGGCCCAGATCTGTGGTGGGACAAAGTCCATCTGGTCGCCTTCTCCCCTTGTACGCTGAAGGATGTCTCTTTCCCACCCATAGACTGTCTCCCAAATCCCGCAGCCCCCACTACCCAGCCCCGCTTTGGGCCAGGCCTGAGCTGTTCTCCCTGGTAGGCCCTGGCTGGGGTGCTTCTCAGCAGGCTGGATACAGCGCGCGCACACACACACACACACACACACACACACACACACACACACACCACCCCGTCTCCTCCACGCACAGTCCAGGTTTACATAGTCCACGTGCGTCCTCCATGCACAATCCAGTCTTAGAAGCCCTGGCTAAGGGGGCGGGGGAGGGGGCGAGATGCTGGAGCTTCCCTACGACTGCTCTTGGTCTTATGACCCTGGGCTTGGGCTCAGATCATCTTAGGCTGTCCGTTCTGAGTCCCGCAGGCCCCCTTTGATCGTTCTGGTTCCTCAGCCTCGAGACTTCCACCAAGTATCTCTCTCAGGCCAAGGTTGTCCAGGCGACACCCCCTGCCCTCGACCGCAGCCTGTTGCACAACGCCTCAGGTACGGGAGGGAAACGCGAGTGCTGTAGTCCACCCCGGCGGCGGGTGGTTCTCCGGAGTCGCTTATCGGCGGGTGGAATCTGGTTCTAAGGCGTATCCAGTTACGATCTCAATCTCACGTTCGAGGGCCATTTATTTGTATTCTCTTGTCTGAAAGGGAAATCTTTGAAATCCTTGAGCTGCGCCAACTAATAATAGATTTTCGTTTCAGGCAGTTTAGCTAATTACTGTCAGATAAAGTAAATATCGGTGCATCCATGGCAGCGTTTGATTTTATTTTAATCGAGTGGTTTCGTTTAGATATTCTTTGTCACCTTAGACACTTCTGCAAACTCTCATCAGATATGTGATTAATGATCATCGTAAAATTGTGGCAAATTCTGTGGATGGGAGTGCTATATAGATAGATGCATAAACGAGAAATAAAATGAGTATGTCTGTTTAGGAGAAAAGCCACTCGTTGACCATTGCAACAAATATGCATTATCAAATAGAAACCATGATAATTCTTCGCACAAGTTATTATTTTACATAAACATTGCTAACGTAATGTAAACGTAAGCATATAATCGACGCTTGTAGTTGTATGTTGCTGCCTCTCACGCATCCAAATTAGCACTTAATTAGGTGAACAAACCCACAAAATAAGTTGGAAGTTATTGAGACATCACAACTAGGGAAATGATTTTGGGGGGGTTCCCCTTTTGTTTGTTAAGCGAAAGAAATTCTCGAAAGAATTCTGTTAGCCAAAATTAAATGATTAGTTCAGATGAATATTTGTCAGAGTTCTCACTATCCTTCGAAAACTTTATTTGCAATGATAACTTGTTTTAAAAAATATCCAGAAAAAAAGAGAAGAAAAAATATTTAAGCTATAGCACGAGATAGGTCCTTAATATTTCCTTGTCGTTGTTGATGTGGTGTATGCCTATTTAGCTTGTGGTTTACTTAAAAAATGCTCAAAATCAGTGAAAAAAATTTAGTAGACAATGGAGTTTTAATTGTGAGAGGGTGGTTAATGAAATGTTCTGCTTTTAAAGCAGTATCAACCAGGCGGATCAGTTCCAGAAAGCATTAAACGGATCTGATTTCTTGATACGGTTGTTCGTTGGGGTGTTTTTTTTTTTTTTAGATTTCCCCCCTCCCGATGCAGTACTTTTGTGGGAGATTTTTCACTGTGTCTTGAGCATTTTAGCGTGTTTTGCAGGTTTGTACAAATACCAGATTGTTGTAGGTTTTTTTTTTTTCAAAATGAATTGTCTAATCAAGCCCACTATTTCTCTGGGAGAAAAAAAAAATCAGACCACGTTTTGTCATTCCTAAAGTTCTTTGTCAATGGCAAGGCTTTGCTGAGAAAAAGAGTTTCGATTTCTCAGGGAGAGGACCTTCCACATCTATGAGGATCTATCCCCCTCCCCAAAACGGAAAGATCGTTGTAAACACAGCTTTTCTCTCCAGAACACGTCTATCCAGCCCGCAGAACATAAGCCAGAAGGGCGAACAGTACCTCTTTCTGAATAAAAATCAGTTACATTATTTTCAAACAGAAACAAACGCCTCTACGAATTCTTTTTTGTGTGCTGTTTGTGGGCGCTGAAAGCAGTTTCAACTTGGGGATTAAATTGGAATTCTGAATGCATACCTCAACTTCCCTCCCACCTCCCGCCCCCAGAGAGAGTTTAACTTCTTGTAGGGAAATGTCGATGTCTAGAGACCTTTAAAATAAAAAGCACACAACCCAACAACAGAACCCAAACTGACTTCAGAAGAGTGGCTGCAGTCTTTGACGCGTTAATTCCCCGAAACCCAGGTTTGGAGCGTCTGCCCGCTGGGTGCGGTCCGCAGCTGAGCTGGAGCGAGATGCGGTTGTCAGGTCCAGGGATCCGGGATTCTTCTTCGCCCCCTTTCCCAGCGCAGTCTTCTCAGCTCTGCCCGCGGTCTTAAGCTGACTCCGTGGCATCTTGGCCTCCAGGAGAGAGAGATTTTTCTATTCCTGGGTCAGGCTGGAAAGAACACCTTCTAAGCGGTTGAAAACGAAAAGACACTTTTCACTTGGAAAGGGACATCAGCTGGTCT